TTACCAACGACCCGGTTGAATGAGAGGGGGAACCTGACTTTCGCATGGCTTAAAATTTTCAGCCAGAATGCCCGACTCACCCAGGATGATGGGCCATCCTCAAGGATATACGAATGGTGGCTCCAACCCAGTGGTCTGTCTCTGACTCCCCCGGGAGCCCTGGCATCCCGTCCGTGGTCCCTGCTGGTCCCTGCACACCCTACTTTGATCGGTATCTCGATGCACCATAATGGGCTCCAGCAGCCGTTCCCAGGCCTATGGTTGTTGCAGAAGTGTGTACTAACATTTCAGAGACTTGAGCATCGTGTGGTGACCCCAGTGGTCTCCGTAGCTCCTTTGGCCTTCTCCGGTTTTTTCATCGCCCCGGATCCTAGCCTATCCGACCCCCTTCTCAGCAGAGGACGTGCTTGGACTTTTCAGTTCGCAAGGATTTTGTTTTGTGCCACGAATGCTTGGAATTATCCTATTCGTTACCTTCACTTGCTGTGGGAACGGTTCTGGTTTTTACGACCGTCATAAATCTTTTCAGCGTACATCCCAGGAAAATACCTGGATCATTGGGGCCTGGATGCGGTAAGTTTCGCAGGCGTTGTATTAGCTTGCTTTCACACCATGAGGTAATGTTCAGTTCATTGAAAAGCAGTGGAAGTCTCCCGATGACCTACTGCCATTGCATGAAAAATGGTCCCAAAAAGCCAAGGTTGCGTCTTCGCGATCCCGGATTTTGGCGGAAAATCACACGGAAAAACAAGAGAAAATCCTAGGAACGATCAGGTTTTCACGGATTTTACGCGATTATGAATGGCAGCGGCTTCATTCATCTGCGTTTAAAGCGGTTGGATAGATTACGTGACCCCGTGGCAGAGTAGGTGTATGACCCATTGGCGACCCAGCTAGCCTGACGACCCGCACCAGAAGTGAAGCTTCAGAAGTACGCCGATAGATACTCACAAGGTGGCGCACGATCTACATGATCTAAATGACGAGGTCAGTTATTACAACGCACAATGCGATGCATGCTGCTGAGGGGCGATGGACGCACACAGCGCAGGCCTGGAATGATGTGCCGAAGTGGAAAACCTTGGGAAGAAGCCGAGATTGGTATGCATGATCCCACCGGCACAAAGACCACACGAAGAACAGAGAAGGTCAAGTGGAAAACGAAAACAAGAATTAACGACGATTTTAAGACAGTTGCTCCTTTTACTACCTGGTGGTACCGGTGTAGCCAGGCCGTTGGTTCCGAGCCGATACCGTCGCGGGTAGCCGAACAATCTCGACAGCTTCGAAATATCGCGCCCTTTGACCGGTTCTGGAGCCCATGCCACTGACATCAGAGACTTTGATCCCGCCCCCTCCGAGACACTCACCATACGATCAGGCAACATCAGAAAACACCATCGAGACTCGTGACATCAGCGGCGACGACTAAGCCACCTGTTGACGTCAGCATTTACTTTTGGCGCCGTGCATTCCGCTTGAGCCCTAGAAGATCACTGACGTGCTCAGAAGCCAATGACAGACTTTGAGGTCCTGGCTGTATATTTGATATTTTGGAAGCTCCGATTGGTTTCTGGCGTCGTCGACGGCTTTCGGATTGCCTGCTTCGTCAGCTTGTGCTTCGTTCGGTGTAAAACTAAACTGACTTTTAGAATCTGCTTGACTTTGAGTTTTTATCATTGCAATCACCTAATCGCCGCCGTCCACACAATTAAAAACAAGCCACAACGAGAAATGACGACGACATTGTTGCTTGAACGAGATCTCTGCATATCCATGCGCGCCGCAAGTGGGTACCGTAAAGGCGCGTGGAAAGCCGCGACAAGGCACGCGGCAACAAGTTGTGTGGTGCGCGCACGCCAAAATGCCTGTGTCGTCGTCGTCATTTGATCTTTACCATACACTAAGCTGCTGAGGCTATATGGTGTCGCCTGCCTCTCACCCTGGCAGAAAGGGCGGGCATCGCATGAAATAAGGCACCTCTACCTCTGGTTTTCCAGACGCACAGCTAAGCCACTGCACTATCGGCACCCAGAAACGTCTGTGACCCATCATGTGTGACATTGTCACTTGCAGTGTCATCTTGCCCGGTGTGTCGACCCCGAGCCTCGGCTACTTGTGAGGTAACTGTTCAGCTGGTATTCAACAGAGCTGTAAAGCTGTGAGACAGGTGGTTGCAGACTTTCCAGAGAACATGCTGCTCCAGTATGGGTGACGATGGGTCAGCAAGGTGGGGTGGAAGTTGGAGGTACCGGTAAGATCACCGGCTTTGAAGACCGCATTAGGGAGAAATAAAAACAAGAACCAGGCACAATGGAATCGAAAATGCTGGAATCGACCACAGGCAGGTGCACCGTGCCGGTCGGATCAATAGACAAATGGACAGAGTGGATGCAGACGCCGTGTTTGCCGCAATTACACATCTCGTGGCTCAAGCTGTTCTGAACTGAACTGAACTGAACTGGACTGGACAGTGGTGTTCGGCTGAATCCGAGCACAACTACCAGCGACGCCGGATGGCGCCGGGAACGCCAGGTGAGACGCACAGGTCCTCCCATGCGACAGGGGGCAGGGCAGGGTGCCGCGGCCGTGTCCCAACTTGCCCGCCACGCGTGGCCCTGCACCAGCAAGGACCGAGCATAACTGGTCCGGCACGGTACTCGGCACTGACAGATTCCGGTCGACTCTTTCGCTTCCCACTGCCGACCTAACCCTTCCGCATGAAGTCTCGCTTCTCCTCACAGAGCAGCCGTACGTGTACGCTGCAGCAGATGTCGCGCGTCATAGCGGAGGACGCCGCACGACAAGCTTGTTCACACAGATCTCTCCCGTGACCTCTCACTGTCATCGTCTTAGGGCGGCGGGACAAGGGCTGCTTGGTTTCGCCACTGGCCGCCTGAGCAAGAGTTCCTGGTCCCCAAAGTGTCTCAGCAGGTGTATGAGTGTTGGTGAGACGTGGATGGTGCTGATAAATAAGCCACGCTTGAGCGCAACCATTGGCTAGCGTAGCCATAGGCAACTATAGCATTGACTAGAACACCGTGTTCCGACCGGCTCAAGTGACATGATAATGAGCAACGGCGATATTGGCATGGTGAAGACAGTGACACTGAATGGCATGTTGAAGCGGACGAAAACAAGGCGCATTTATAACAGCCCACAAAAAGCGCGGAAGCTAGTGTCACGGCGTTTTATAAAGCCTAGACAATTATACCAAAACAGCAACAGGAAGTAACAGGAAGTAAGAGGAAGTAACAGGAAGTAACAGGAAGGTGGACGGACGTTCACGGGGACGATGTCAGATTTTACAGGTTTTTGCCGTATCACAGCTGAGCTAAAAAGCAATTATTGTCACCTATCTTAACAAGGACGGCCGATGGACAAGTGCTGATATTGAGCTAAAAGAACAGAGAATCCAGCCTCTGGATTCGCCCAGTTGCGTTTTGGCAGGTGATATGCCGTGTTCAAGCCAGAGTCCCTGTCGGCTTAAGCGGTTTCCTTCAGTAATTCAGCCCAGCAGCAGCAGTCAGACTGAGTCCGAACTGAGGAATACCAGACCGTCCTTAAACCTCTGATCATCTGCGTCACCAAACCTCTGAAAATCTGTGTTACCCAGACTTCTTAGCGAGGCCGCCATTTTTCTGGCAGCCAGCGAGACAAGATTTCATAAATGAGGTAGATGTGACTGCGCTCGTTTTTTGTGGGCAACTCCTGTTCGGCATAATTGTCAGTGCTGAGATGAAGCACCTCGTCCAGCCAATCATATTTCATGTTGGTTTGACGCCATTGTGAAAGCCCTGGCTGCGCTTCTTAAGCTTTTCGCTCTATACCTGTTGCTCACAGTCCAAAGCTTATGGCACAAGCAGGGGTGGTAAAATTTTCCGAATTGGTGGATAAGGTCGGCGACAAAAATGGACATATTTACGGGAAGCTTATTGCCACTTTGGCAGAAAATATCGGTAACAGCCACGACGAAATAATACAGCATTCTCTGCAAAAACTAATATGAGGCTCCCATGTACAGATGGAGGCCGCATATTAGTTAACGAAATGCTGCCCCCATGGTAAAACATTTCGTTATACAACACAAAAAAACTTTTTTGTAGACTTTTCACTGTACTCGATGGCACCACGGTAGCTTCCTTAGGTTTCATCCCGACTTGACGACAAAATTATCCTATGATTTTTAGTTGGTCGTTCTCTCCGGTGACAGGTCGGCGACAAATCAGTGTATTTCCTATGACGCGGCCGGTCGGTCGATTCGCTGTTTTTGCCAGCCGACTCTTAGGCTGGCAAAAACAGCGAATGGCCGAATCGAAATCACTGACAGAGATTTCGATATGGGGATTTATCTGGCCGCAAGGGCGCGTTTCACCTGTTGCGATGCGGCTGATATCAGGTGGGCGGCGACTTTCAACGCACTGCGATTTTGCGAGGGGTCTCCCTAAAAGACGGTCACGGCGGCGGTTACAGTTGCGGGCAAAGTCTTACCTGTATGCTAAACTTCTGGTGTGAACCAAATGGGCGTCGTTCAAAAGGAAATAGCTAGTTTGACATTCGAGGATCTTATGAGCGCAAAGTATTCGCACGTTGCGGAGATATTCATGGAAACCCTTGAAAAGGGACTGAGCAGCCGCGGCCATGGTCGTGGCTACGATTGTGGCCGAAGTCTAACTTGCAAACGACTGCATAGAATTTCACGAGAAACCGTAGAATCTCCCCGTCCCCCACCCGCAAGTGTACCACGCAATTTTGTTGGTAGACGTAGACAAGCCGCACCTAGTGGAAAACGAGGAAAATCTAGCGATGAGTAAATGATCGAAATATAGCGTAAGACTCCGGCGCGAATAAGGAATAATGAATATGATTTGCACCTTCTATGCAGGTTCATTTAAGAACGGAATTGCGAAATGTATGACTATGACCATAACGATGACCACGCTGCATATGAGCAATCCTGATTTTATGAAGGGAGGGGAGCTCGGCATGGGCATCATAAGGGGGCATGGCCTCCAGGAGGCCTGCATGTCAGACCTCATTCTCAGTGCAGCCTGCTACCAGTTCAAGCTCTGCCATGTGTTCTGCTGCCCTGGCTATCGAGGTCCTTCGTTGTCGTTTTTTTCGCGATCGAGGAAAGCAAAGTCAACCGTAGATCGAATTTAAACGTGAGGCCCCCGGCAAATGCCTGCGGTGAATGAACACTGCTGCCGTGATTTTGCTATCCCATAGTCTAGGGCAGGTGTGCCTGCTTTCGTAGCAACAGCAGTTATCCTGATATTAGTCGAAGGACGTTGTAAAATGGAACGTTTTGGTTGTGCGCATGATACTGAAAACTATGGGGATGAAAGAGGCTTTCAATGATATACTGATTCCCGATGACGCCACTGGGCATGGACTTCATTACCATTTTATGTAATATGGCATCGCATTACGCTGCTGGCGACAATTTTGCCTCTAGAAGTTCGGCCGGCGACAAAAGTACACTTTTATCACCCCTGGGCGCAAGGTTAGGAGATATTTCGGCTAGGACCCTTATCAACCATAAACCATCCCTGCTGCCCGATCAGCACACACGCTGCCTTTCTGGCTGGTAAGATCATCCCTTTTGAGTTGTTGCCAAAAGAGCTTCCCCGACCACCTGACCCGTCACGCACGGTGCGCTGACAACTAGCCATTGGAGGATAAGGCCTGCACTGGACGGTTGGGTGATGACATCGCATGACACTTCAAAATCGTAAGGTGAAAATCCCCAGTTTAAGGAGAAATCCCCAGTAAGGAGAAAATCCCCAGTTCCGCTGGAATTGCTCTGTTTGGGAGCTGGAATCAGAGTGTTCGCACCAAGCTGTGGAAAGCGGTGGCTCTCATCCCAAAGCACGCTTGCAGATTGGTCCACCGAATTGTTGACATCTCTCGCTCGGGCACGACAAAATACGTTTCACGTTTACCCGCCACCCCCACCCCATTCCACCCTGACGCCAGTAGTCGGTGCACTTACGTTGAACTTCCACGCGACGAAGACGAGAGCAGCCACGATGGCCAAGGCCAGCAGCACCAGGAAGACAGTGAGGGCGATCGAGCCGCCCTTGTTCTCGCACTCAAACTCCTCCGCCTTCAGGGAGGTGACCGGGCGTCCAGCAACTGCCTCCGGCAGCTTACACCTGACAACGTATCGAAGGACTAGTTACACCATAATCCGACCACGGGCGCATTTGTGGCTGGCTAAATCACATGAGTGAAGGCATCACTAGCATCGTCGGCATCGTTTGCCAGTAACTTCACCTACATCAATGACAACGCCGAGTAGATGGTAAGCAGGCAATCTGACCTGGCCGGGTAGTGTGTGTGTGTGGGGGGGGGGGGGGGCTCAGTTCATCACGCCGCGCCCGAGACATTTCTCAGAATTAGTGGCTGATTCATGTGACAAATTTCTTTGTCGCGGTGTGCATAATGTGAGCATTGGAATATAGCGGGTTTGTGCTCAACTTTGACTCTTAGCCGGAGTCAACTCCGGAGTCAGAACCAAACTGGGGAGTCGGAGCGGAGTTGAATTCACTGAAAACATGTGGATGTTGAGTCAGAGCTGAGTCAACTATCCCATCATGGTCAGGGTACAGTTGACCTGATTTCTAACATTTGTGATAGGTATTGTTGAATCAACACAAAAAGACAAATAAACTAAAACGAATGATCATTGATGTATACTAATTTTTCGGTGAGGTCTGACTGCTTAATGTAGATATGTGCTGAGCATTGTGAAAGTTGATCAAAAATAATAACAAATAAGATAAACCGTTGGGATCAATTCCCCAGAGATCAGATCTAAAATTGGTGAAATTTTCTACATTTATCGTCAGAGTCGGTTTTACTTATTTTAAGGAAACCGGAGCCAGGCATGGAGTCGGCTCTAAGTTAAAATTCAGCTTGGAGTGTCTCCTGGTTTTATGTGTGCAGCCAAACCAAGCACTTGAAGGGAATGCTCCAAAGTTAAAGGCATTGGAAAAATCATCGGATTGGATAAAGTGAGCTGACTTATGGGTATTGGTGTACTTATAAGTGGAGAAGGTCGCTCTAGACAACACAACTGATCCATGTGGTTCATATGTTCCGCAATACGTCATTGCGTGATTACGTCACCATGCCTTGCACAACACCAATTTATAGCCAATCGATGGCCGTTATATCTGGAAATCGTGTTCACGAACATTAGATGTGAACGAATCGGCAATTATATTTCGCGTGGTCTTGATCTTCGCATGGCCAATGTAACTGCAGGATTTGAATGGCGTTATTATGGCGTCATGGATGCATAGGTGACCTTGGAAAGGTCTGAACGAAACAGTCCGCATATCTCAGCTGGCATGTAGCTCAGAAACTAGGTAGGTTTAGGTGTTAAGAATGGCGGGCTGTAAACTTCACCGAATGCTTTCCAATGTGACCATTTAAGTTTAAAAACCCATACAAATGTGGAGCACTTCCTTCAGGGTGTGACAGGGTCTAACCAAACAACATTAAGAACAAATCAGTAAGGCATGGTAAAATTAGACAAAACTAATCGCGTCAACGTGCGGCAGCGCTCAGCAGCACAGCTTACTGGAAAAGTGGCTCCTCCTCGAAGAGAAAGTTGCCCTTGGCCACCCAGTCCATCTCACAGTCGCAGGTCCATGGGTTCCTCTCCAGATCGACGTAATCCATGCGCTCCCAGGGCAGGAGGTCGCGACTGATGCGCGTCAGGCTGTTCTCCTTCAGGTCGACGCGCACCAGCCGCGCCAAGTACTCGCCCGAGAGGGTGTCCTTGAATGCCGACTCATCCACCTCGGTCAGCCCGTTGAACTGGCACAGCAGCTCCTCCAGCTCGTCCAGTCCACTGAAAGCGTTCGCTTCCAGGCGGCGCAGTGAGCTCATGGAGCTCAGTATGAGCCGGCGCAGGCTGGGCACCACCGCCAGGCCAGCGCTCGGCACGCTCTCCAGCTTGTTACCGCTCATGTCGAGCGTGCGCAGGCTGGTGGCCTCGGACAGCGTCTCGGCCGGCACGGCCGTCAGGTGATTATGCGGCAGCAGCAGCGTCACCAGCCGCTGGTTGACGGCGAGCAGGCCGGCCGGCAGCGCGGACAGGTCGGTGCTGTCCAGGTCGAGTACCTGCAGATGCGGCAGGAAGATGAATAGGCCTGCGTCGAGCGTCACTAGTGGGTTGTAGTGCAGGCTCAGCTCACGTATGGCCGTGCCGGCGAACAGCTCGGGGTCCAGTGTGCTCAGCTTGTTAAAGCCGAGATCGAGCCGGACGAGATGCTTCAGTCCCTGCAGGGCGGACGGGTCGATCTCCCGCAGCAGGTTCTTGTCCAGCAGCAGCGTCTCTAGAGCGGGCAGTCCGGAGAACGCCCGTGGCGCCAGCACTTCGATTCGATTTTTGGAAAGGCGCGCCGTCTTCACCGAGGGGTTCTGCTGGAACTGACCCTCCTTGACTACCGTCAGCTGATTCCGCTCGAATGACACTGTCGGCGCGCTGGCCGGCAACGTCAGGCCTACGGGCAGGTCAGTGACCTCCAGCCCCGAGCAGTCGACGCCCTGGTACAGGCGGGACGCCTCTTCCGGACAGTCGCACGTGACGCCCAGCGGCGAGGCGTCCAAGCAGAGCAGCGCCGATGAGCCGAACAGAGACTCGTAAATGCCGCTGTGAGCGCCGGCGACCAGCAGCGCGCCGATGACGGCTGCCAGCGGCTTCTGCATCCCAGGCATCTGCCGAGCAGGGCACGCCAATAGTGCGGCGGGCAGATGGCAGCGCTTCCGTCTCCACACAGAAAATATCACAGCTTTTTGCGGTCGTTAACTTGGGTTGAGAATCGAAGTTAGTCCCGAAAACATCCTTTTTGAGGCTGGCACTCACCCCTTGAGAAACCCAGGTAAGGCGCTGCATGGTACCGCGCCCCATCTAGAAAACACGCATTCAGTCTCACCGGCAAGACCACCACCCAGTGCATGGCAGATGAGGCCGTTTCCATGTTAGAAACACAGCAGTTTCATTTGCGGGACAGATGTTTGCAATTCCAGGACAAGATGAAATATGCCTGCCACAGGTGACATACACCATGCCTCGAAAGTACTTCCGAGATGTAAGCCTCCTACTTTGGCACTCACGGTAACATCATACATATACAACAACGTCATCATACACAATTTAGGAATGCAACTAGTTTCAATAAGTGTGCAATGATGTTACGATTGTAAGAGAACATGGAAGAATGTCATCACTCTGAGCAAACGAGCTTTACGACGCATTCTCGGTTTCTGCAACAACTGTCACGTGTTTATCGGTCGCTGCGAGAAAGGCATTCCAACGTCGATGAAAGAATTCCTTGGTCGCTGGTATACTTACGTATACGTATCATATCTTGGTCGTATGATATAGGATAGCGGCCGATGGTAAAAGCCAAATTAGGAGTGATCCGGCCTACAATGAAATGACTGCAGCTTATCATCATGTAAGTACAAACCTACATGCAACATTGAAACGACGGATTAAAGCCTAGGATCGGACTGCGCAAAAATTGCATCACAGTCGAAACGATTGCCATTATCTTAAGGTATCCCCTTCCTGTTAAAGGCTATCATCTTCACGCTATCGAGTTAAGCCAAATCATGTTCGTACTAAATGCTAAACTGATCGGTGCAAAAGTATTTCCTCAAACGCGAGGCCCTCCGCCGCGGACGTAACATCACAGCGAAAAAGCAGGACCACCGTACTCGGGCGCGATGTTTGACCACCGCACTCGGGCGCGATATTTGCCATGAGGCCAAGCCACCTGTCTTTGCAGGCATTAGATACCAGTTTGTTTTTTCGACTAGAAAATGGTGTTTATAAGCGGGCCTGCTACCAGTCAACGTCACCATCCACACTCCTGGACGCCTGGTGACGCCACCCTCCACACTCCTGGACGTCTGGTGACGTCACCCTCCACACTTCTAGGCGCCTGAACACGACAGCAAGCCTCTGATCTCCCCTCAGAAGTCAGCCACATGCTTCAGCAACAACGGAGATGACATCACTCCACGAAGCCATACAATGTGACGCGTATCTTCCGGAAATGTGACGCATTCATCGGATCACTCAGTTAATCCTAGTCCAAATACTAGCGGCTAACGATGATGCGCGGTCGATGGAAGGCGAATGTACTGGCGGCCACACGGATGAAACACTTGACTATCAAAGCTATGATTCAAGTCAGCGCTTCTCACACCAGCCTAGGCAGGGGTGTTAGCTGTAAATCGAGTTACGTTTTCTCCTGTATAGTGCATGCACACGATGATCCATACTAACTCGTATAAAAACCTAGCAGCATTTGCTGCTTATGGTCACGTTACAGGTCTGTGAAGTTGAGAACACTGCTTATCCCGCGCTGTGTGCAGCTTAGATATATTTAAAGAATGTTTTGGCGGCTTGCTTATATGACCTGTACCACACACATCACCTGAACTCTCCGGAGCATGACAAGTCTATGGTTATGGCGTTCAATGAGTGACGGCAAAGTCACAGAAACGTGAGTGGATATGTTTTGTGATAAATTAGCAGCTGCTCAACGACATGTGATGAAATTTAGCTCGAATCTGAACGTTACTGACTAGTCAAATCTCAAACAGTGATGTTTAGAAAGCCAGCTCTGCGTTAGTTTGAAGACTTGAGTTTTGAGAACACCAATCAACAGTGCAGCATTGTGGAAGTTTCCATAGGTGCTTCCCTCCCATTTTCGGGTGTTCTCTACCACATGAACGCGCTCATGAGACATGTCAGATGTGAGGAATTCAGTGTACAATTGAGCACAACTGGCTACGTAGTCGCAGTCGTGGCGCCCTCAAATTGATCGTGTTGGCTTCGGAACGTCATTAAATTCGGTGTGAAACGAGCAGATAGTTATGGCATGGCACGCAATTTACCTAGAGGCAGACTTCCTCGTTTACACTTTGGTTATCTCCCGCAGGACTTGCACCTTTCTACGTACATCAAGGCAGGAGCAGAGTTCTACGATGCACGCTCTCGCTGCGCTTACCTTGGCGAATGGAGGACACGGCTCGAACGGCGAGAAATGGCGCCGGAACTGCCGTAGCGACACGGCGCTATGGTACGAATGGTGCCGGGCGTCGCGACTTGCTTATCGCTTCACAATCAGAACAAGAAGCAGATAGCGGAACCTGTGGACGTGTGGACTCTGAATCAGCTCGCATACGATAAGCCTCAGCGTAGGGTGAACTCTGAGCAACGAGCCCTGCCCAGCAGGAGGGCATGGCGGGAGGTGGCCGCCACACATGTGTATTGGGGCCCGCGACACAGTAGTATTGGGAGCCGCGACACAGGAGTATTGGGCCCACGACACAGGTGTATTGGGGACTGCGACACAAGCGTATTGGGGGCTGCAACACAGGCGCATTGGAGGCCATCACACAGGTGTATTAGGGGCCGCAACACAGGTGTATGGGGGGCCGCGACACAGGGGTATTAATGACCGTGACACAGGTGTATTAAGGGCCGCGACACATGTCTATTGGGGGCTGCAACACTGGGGGCTGCCTTAACAAGGTGTTGTGCATAGTTGCCATGTTTTTGTGAGTGGTAAGTGACTGTACCGGAGATATGTACTATATTTTTAACACAGGAATACTCTAAGCTGCAGGGCAACAACAATATGAGATACACATAAGTTTTTAGGAAATAGTCATCCCATCCCATTTAAGATGTGAAACCAACATCTCAAACTTTGCTATTAAATATCAATAAACAAGCCTAAATGGATGCCTTTGCTGCAGCTGGAAAGGCAAGCAGCAAAACTGGTTGTGTAGGCCATCTATAAATTATGTTACGTTGGGGGAGGAGAGCCTGTTTTGTGGAGCATACGCACGATTGGCCTTGACAGAGGCTGACCATGACAATCAGAATACATTGTTTAAAGCGATTTGAGGTGTTCTGTTTTGTGTGTTGTCAACTTTGTCTGGTGTCAACAAGCTGACACAAATGAATTAAACCAAAGCAGTTGAAACCAGCCAAAAATAAGCTTCATGTTTTTATCACAACTGCTGCTGTCAAGAAATAGGTGAGGTGAGTTGAGATGATGGTCAATTTATAGGGCTACTCCAAGTTAGGCTAAGTTGGTAACTTGCATAACAAGTGGCAATAGGATTTTGTAAAAAAAATCAGTGCCTCACAAATGCTGCTGAGATGCAAATGGTTTCGACAGGATGAGATGAGGTAAGGTTTCTTTAGGTTAAGCTTAGTTAGATTGTTTTTATGGAACTAAGCATAAGTATTTTGCAAGAAATAGTGACATGATATTCATATTTCATGACCCTATCTCAACAGAAGCCAGATGTATGTCTGTTGTGTCTGACTTGGTGATGTGTTGATGTGCTGAAGTCCAAGGCTAATTTGTTTGAGTGTTTTATGCTTCCTGAATTTATTGTTGTTGTTTGCTCTTGAATGCCTTGGCTTTGTTTTGTGTCAAGAAGTTAACAAAATTGCGGAAGTTAACAAAACATTGGTGTTACACAGTTTTTGACGCTCATCGCATCGGGATGCCGGTAGTGTAGTGGTTGACGCGTCTGCGTTAACCACTGCGCGCCTGGGAAACCAAAGGTACGACGTTCGATTCTCCGTGGTGCCCGCCCTTCCTGCCAGGGTGAGAGGCAGGTGACGCCATATAGCCTCAGTAGCTGAGTGCGTCGTTAAGTCCCAATGACACACGCTCAACACAGCGTTAGGAAATTACCACTATTTTATGTATTCTGTTCCACTTTATTGGCCCAAAATGTTAAAATTAAAAAGTTTTGTCATGTTTATGATATCATGTCAGTGACAACTTGGAATCTATGCCTTTGTTTGCTGGAACAGCTCTCAATGACCCATAAGTTTCAACTTTTGTTAACTGAATTTTCCACTCCCGTACGGGATTTTGCGATGGAATTTTTCGCTCCCACCCTGGTTCAAAAGCTATTTTAGCTCACTGTGACGTGGGAGTGATGCCAGCAAACCGAACGAAACAATACCATTTCGTGTGCTGCAGAGGTGTGCAAAGGCAATTTGCTACTTCATTATGATCTTACCAACATTTTGAGCCTATTGGGGTATTACAGCATGTAATTGATATATTGCAGGCCATTATATTAGCAATTCATCTTGGCGGTAGGGGCAGGTACGTGCAGCTCATCAATGTACATGTTAGGTACAAGCTCGCATGATACGGCTCTGCAAGCCTGTCTTTCCCTTAACAATTTAAAAAAAAATAATGCTGCATTATGGATGCCCGTACTACTTTTTTTTTAGGAAATGTGTTTGCATGCAAGCATCGCTCGTGGGTTTTCAATGTCCTAGCGCTGCAACTTGTGTGGGATGCTGGGTGCTGGGAAAGGGGAAAAAGTATTGATGCCGATTCCTTGGATTTTACTCAACAATAGTTTTATCATGAGCCTTGTGTGCACTGGCAGCTTAATTACTTACTTGCATTTCGCCCATCTAACCATGACTTCATGTACTTGTCATGTCTCCAGCCTTGAGCAAGGCCATCAGGTTTGCAGTGCCATTGTAATATTTTCTTGTTATACACGTGTTATTGCCTGTGTGAACAATACTTTTCAGTGAAGCAGCCTGATGGCTGCAGCATGTTGCGTGGCGGTGGAAGCAGAAGACGTGTTTGCGTCTTTGTCACCCACATTTTGTGGGCTCCCAAAACAGGCTGAGCGAGTGATGCCAATTATTCGTTGTGTGCTTTGCTGAAAGCGATGTGTATATTGCATCATGTGTTTTTTGCCAGTCATATGCCAGATGCGGAGTTCATACAAGAATACACGCCTGAGCTATCTTCTTATGGTGCAATTTATTATGAAGGCAGCAGACATTGCAGCACAAAAACCGTAGTATTGTTCATTATGGCATGTCTCAATACAGCACTGAGGTAGTGCCACATTGACACTGTTGAAGGCATACCATGCCATGCCACACGCTGTTACACAATATACCACATTGGTTGACTGCTCTACATCAAGCCTATGAGATAACAGTAAATAATAAATGACTGGTAACAACTGATTTAACACTGTCAAAGGACTATCACCAGCGAGAATTCTGTTGCACCGGAATGTTTGTAGTAAGGCTAGCTAGTGATTGCATACATAACTGAGCAGGAAAAATATTCTTAGTAGCTCAACCTTACCATCTTTACCATAGCAATAGCAGCGCTTTTGGCAGTCAATTCATAGCAATGGTACGGATTTATTATTAACTTTTGCATGTGAATGCATTTCTAATTACAAATAATAAAGAAAATAACTACTATGCACATCAGAAGATATCAATATTAGGACCATGGCACTGCAGCCAGGGATAGGTCGGCAGTGCAGTATTGACATCCGCAACAGTCCTAGGCACGTTTCAGTAAGATTCATGACGCTATAGCACAGCTTTCACAGTATATCGTGCTTTGATATTAATGATCTGCCTACAAAAGCTGGCGATCGCTACGTTGCATATGTCAAACAATCCACCAAAGCTTTTCCTACGATCAGTACCACGACAAAAAATCAACAAACAAGTCATTCACTTATCCGCCGCCCGCCACAGCACCCGCGACAAGAATGGCCGGCTGGCCTCATCTTTCATGAGTTTCGGGGTACTCTTAAGGTTTGGCTGTCATGTAATGTTGTCGTCACAAAACGATTTCATGATGCCATCACACAATGACGTAATAGGGGTCATTTTTACTGCCTTTGAAATTTTGCCTCTTAGGGTCGTTTTTGAACCTTGAGCTTTTCCCATCATATCTTGAAATGTGGAACATTCCTTTTGACCAATGAGGGGTCAAAAAGCTTCTTTCCAATTCCATCACTGCCATGCGATGACCCACGTTAAATGTATAGCACCCTTAATGTAGTAGCCAGCTCCACCACATCGCATTGGTACCTTGTGCGCCACCATTGTGCTTTGGCGTAATTCTGTTTGACTCCTCTGTGCACTTAAAATACAGATGCCAACTGTGAAACGACGTGTGTGTGATTTGGAACTCAGAAGGCTTGAATGAACTGATAGCAGGACATGGCATCAGAATAGGCACTCGCCACGTCTCGCTGTTGCTCTGAAGCGGGGGCGTAGACCACGGGCATAGGAACAAGGGGGGAGGGGGGGGGCAGGGGGGCCATGGCCCCCCACTTTTCAAGGTGGGGGGTGCAGCAATGTTAACTGTCCCCCCCCCCCCACACCCACTTTTCAGATTAAATTTGCATTTGTCTTAATTTTGCACTTAGTTAAACATGCATACCGACTTACCTAGTTCACCAGCCATCTTCCTTAAGATGTGCCAATTTTTTTCGTTTGCTCGTTGGCCGTCACTTAGTGTTACAGCCGCAAGGCCGACGCCGCACGGTATGGAGACTGCAACGCCGGGCGTCGAGGCTGTTATTGCTATGACTTGCGAGCACGCATGTTCAGCAACATATTACGTAGTTTTCTGATTAGTAATCAGCTTTGACAGGATCTTGAGCATTTTGAGACGGGCATGGGTTAGCCATGTTAATAAAATTAGAAACCCTATTTCATCTACAATCTACAGTCAGGGAGAACTCAATATCCCTGAAGAGCGCAGAAAAACACGGAACTAGAGTATATGTGACAACATCGGACTACCTGCGGTGATCAGGGATGTTGTTGCGTCAGTGAGGGTTCCTGTACTGATCTGAGGCTAACTGCGCGGTTCAGAAGGCTTCCCGTGTCAGGGATGGGAATAATGTGATACGATTAATCTTTATAATGGCCTCCGGATCGACCAGGAGATCCCGCCCCGTGCCACCAGAATGATAACCAGAAGACACATCGCGATGGGACGGAATGGCCCTTCAGCCCTTAACCGGAAACGGCAATGTACACCTGGTGTTCTAATACGCCTTGCCCGGAAGAAAATAAGGGGTCTCACTATTGTTCAGTGGAGTGGGGCTCTCATTATTGTTGAATACCGCAGGTCGAAATGAATTAAAAAACGAGCAAGGTCATGCCATGTTTGCCTGAGAACGTTCATTTTTTCAGAATGTCTTACGGAAACAAATTACATCAAAAGGCTTGAACATGCCCGCCCGCAA